ATCCTTGCAGGGACACTGGCCTGTGGTCTGGTTGCAGGTCTTGCCAGCGGCACCAACAGGGTGACAGTCACATGCTGAGGACAGAGTTGGGATGGTTAGAAGCCCATGTGGGGATGCGGGGAGCCAGAAGGTGAGGATGTGCAGGGAGCTGGTGGCAGGCTCACCCCTGCAAGCGCGGCGGTCGCTCAGGGCACGCCCTGGATCGCGATAGAAGCCCTCCCTGCAGTAGTGGCAGTGGCGGCCGGCGGTATTGTGCCGGCAGTTGAGACAGACGCCACCACTACGACGGCCGGACAGTCGGTACAGCTCCATGTTGAAGCGGCAGCGGCGGGCATGGCCATTGCAGGAGCAAGCTGCAGGAAGGGATGGGTCAGGGGCAGCCTGGCCCGGTCCAAGATCCCCAGGCCACCCTCCAAGACCTCACCAAGGCAGGCGTGGGCTTCCCGGGCCGTGGCCCGCTGCCATGGCCTGTCGCAGTAGAAGGGCTTGCAGCGGCCGCAGTCGGGGCCCTCAGTGCCATGCTGACAGTCGCAGATGAGGTGGCCCTGGGTGTCCAGCAGGCACCTTGAGGCATGCCCATTGCACTTGCAGCGCCCGCCCACCTGCAGCTCAGTAGCCGAGTAAGAGTAAGGGACTATGGCCATGGAGTCCCTGGTGTCCCCCAGCATGGCAGGCCTTGTGAGCACTACTCGAATGTCTGTGGCAGTCACCCAGTCTTGGAGCACTGGGCTGCTGTCCAGATCCAGGCCTGGTGGGCTTCCGTCCTGCACGCTGAAGGCCAGAAGGCCACCACCATCAGGCTGGACCTGGGGCTCAGGGAAGCACAGAGCTTCAGGCCCTGGGCCAGGTGGGCCATCCGCAGGGGCAGGCAGGCGGCCATAGTCCAGGCCACAGCGGGAGGAGAAGAAGCCCAGTGGGGCCCAGCTGCGGCCGTGATCCTGTGACTTGAGCAGGGCCACCGAGGCCGGGGGCGCAGAGCAGAAGCGCAAGCTCACGAACACCAGCTCAAAAGCCTTGCCCAGGGGCACTGTGAGGGTCACGTTGTGGGGCGCCTGTGTCAGTGAGTCCGAACGCCAGCACACAGGGCTGGTGGTGCTCCCTGCGGACGTCAGGAGGGCGGCGGGGTGTGCCCGCCTCGGGTCGGATGCATCACAGGCCCGCGTGGCCGGCCGGCCGCACGTGCTGGACGCCAGAACCTCACGGCCCAAGGCGGCGTTCACCAGGCCGGGCACGCAGCCGCGGGGCGCGCCCCCGTCGTCATGGCAGGGGTCGGCAGGCGCTGGCTGCCCCAGGCTCAGCGCGGTCGAAAGCGTGCCCGCGGTCAGCAGCAGCCCCCAGGGCCAGCCGGGCATGGCCGGAGCCGCGGTGGATCAGCCAGCCCGCCGGGCCCCACGCCTCTGCCCTCGGGGAGAGAGAGCCCGGATTCGGGGCTCTGCCCGCTGGCCCGCAATGCCGAGCAATCCCGGGAGGCCCCAGCCGGGGCCAAGAGGTGTGAGCAGCCGCGGGCACGCCCCGGGCCAAACGCAATAGCGGGGATGCTGGCGCGTCGTCCCGCTGGGCCTGGAGCGATGACAGGAGTCGCCCCCGCTCCCGGCGCCTCCGCCCGCGGAGGCCCCACCCGTCGTCCGCCGCTGCACTCACCCACCGAGGGCCGGGTCGAGCAGGTCTCCCGGCCTCCCGGGAAGGGCCGAGGGCGGGCGGGGCCTGGGGCGCCCCGGCCGCCGCCTCCTCCCGGCTGTAGCGAAGGCGGGCGAGCTGTGCCAGGAGGGGGTGGGGGGCGCAGTAGGCGCAAGCCTGGGCCCAGCCGGGGGCGGGGCTGCTCGGGCCGGGAAGGAGGGAGGGGAGGGGAGGGGGCCTCGTCGGCAGAGCCGGAATCAGAAGCAGATTCAGACACTGGCTGGGCCAGCGGGGGAGGGGGCTGGGAGGCCCGGGAGCCGGGGGAGGGGCCGGGGAGCCAGGAATGCGCTGGCGGGAGGGGTCTGGAAGGGGCGGCTCAGCCACGCAGCCCGTGGGGGACCACCCAGCAGGGTCCCCGGCCTGCATCCAGGCCCTGACTGCTCCTGGGGCTGTGCCACGTGCTGGGCGGGGGTCTGGCCGCCTCCTCCCTCAGGCCCATCTGGCAGGCTAAGCCCTGCATCTGAAGGCTGGTGCCCTGATGATCCCCTGGGTCTCTACAGGGAACACTCAGGGCTGTAGCAGCCAAGCAGGGCTGGTGGTTATGGGATGTCCCCAAGCAGTGGTCTGCTCTAGTAGAAAAAAATCCCCACAATTGGGACCAGGTCTGATTTTGAATCCAAGCTGCTCCAATTTCTGGCTCTGTGGTTCATGCTCCTTAACCTGAGATTTATTTTTTTCATTGGACTGTTACTCAACTTTGCTGAGCCATTGGTGGGGGGGTGGGGGGGGGGACGGTTGATGAGCCGCAAAGGTATTGGATGCAGCCAGGGGCTCCACCGACTTGAGTCCCTCTTGCTTTATGTTCAGGAAGTATGTGTCCTCTGGGTCTGCCTGGAACTCGCCTAAGTAATGAAATTGGCATATCCGACCCAGATCAGGCCAAACCCTTGTCCCAAAGCATCTCTGGGTCTCTATCTAGTTGCATCACCAAGATGGGGCCAGTCCCCAGAGCTGGCAGGGAGAAAGCAGAAGCTGGGGTGGGGGGAGCCTACTAATTAACAGAGCCGCATGGAGTTCAGGGTCTTGGTCAGCAGTCGAGGACCCCTGTGGAGGGTAGGGAGTGGAGTTTGGTCCATGGGGAGGGCCTGGTCACAGACAGCTCAGTGTCAGACCCCCTGAGCCTGGCCCACATACCAGCAGGTTTGGGTAGAGAAACTGAGGCAGGAACTCACCTGGGCAGTCTGGGCACCAGCTGGGGATGAGGCAGCTGCAGCTGAGAGTGACCCAGCCAAGAGAGACCAGAACTGCTCTGGATAGACACCACTTCCCCACAACCATTAAGCCCTTGATGGAAGGGCAGGGGCAGCATCCCAGGAAGGGTCGGCTTCATGCAGAGGGGGCAGGGAACACGGGAACATGTCTGACCTGGGAGAAGTTGTGAGGTCTGAAGTTTCAGATGGGAGACTGACTAGGCCAGGCCTGGCAGCTGATGGAGGATGCCACGTGGGTGTGTCTGGGTAGGTAGAGCTGCCTCTTGCACCTGGGCAAGAGATACTGCAAGGACCCACAAGAAGAAGGTAGAGAGAAGCAGAATCTTCTTGCTGTTTAGGAGAGGAGGGACAGGAGGACACTGGAGCCTCCCAGGGGAAACCAAAGGAGAAGAGGTTGGAGCAGCCAGGAAGATAGGGTGATGGGGCATCTGAAGTGACTAGCACCTTCTGGTCAGGCCCTCACAAATGTAAGGGTGGGGGGTGGGGTGCAGGGGCTGATGAGATCATGGGAGACTTGGGAAGAATTGAGTCAGAGGGGCTGCTGACCTCTCTCCCTTCGCCTTTGGCAGCAGCAGGGAGTCTGTGGGTCTCCTCTGCCCCACAGAGCAGGTGCCATGGCACCTAATCTCAACTTTGAGATGAAAAGAACATGCCCCTTACAACAGATAGCCATGCATGAATGAGGGAGCTGACAGGGAGCCCAGTATGCTCCAGCCTGAGTCAAGTTCAAAAACAGCATCTTCCCAACCACCCTCTTCAAGGTCCTTCTGATCATCAGCCTCAGCCTGGGATGAGCGGAGCCCTGGCAAGAGACTACTGGTTGCAACAGATCCTTCTGGGACCGTTAGAAGCTAAGAGGTCACGGTGGGGTGAGATGCCCAGGCCCAACACAAGGGTTCCACAGAGCCTGAGACAAGCCTCCAGGGAGCCCCCGGTTGTCTGGACTTCAAGACTCGGGAGGGAAGAAAGGAAATTGGAAATCAGGGAGCAGCCTCCCTTCCAACCCTGTGTCAGACTTGCAGGCTTTGTCTGCAGCCCAGCCTCCTCGGGAGTTGGGGCTAAGGTCTGCAGAACATCTGGTGGTTTGTGGTGTGGGTGGAAGGAGGCCCTCAGGGCTCAGCCTGCTGCATGCACGAGTGTTCATCCGTTTTAGCAAGCAGGGAGCTCTGGGCCCAGAGGGCGGTGGTACTACCAGTTCCCCAGGGAAGAGGCTGCAGGCAGCCTGGCCTCTTCCCCCAGAATGGCCCCCCGCACACATTCTCTTCTGGCCCCTAGGATGGCCCTGGCAGATGGCCTGCTGAGAGTGAGGGAGGGCCTTCTCCCCAGCCCCCAGTCCAGGCTCATTGCACCTGTCCCCAGCCTCTGGGGCCTCTCATACCTCTCCGCTGGTCCTGCCCCATCCTGGCACCTTAGAAGAGACTCCACCTCCCTGCCCCCACAAGCACCTCATCAGCCCACTGCAGTCCTCCCACTCCCACCCCCAGTCAGAGTGACAGCTGCTGGCTTTGGGGGAACCTATCTGGGGAGGAGGGGACCCAGGGGGCCAGACATTCCCAGGCCTCAGGCGGCTGGGGTCTTTCCCTTAAAAGGCAGACTGATCCAACACTCCTGGCCCAGCCCTGTTCCCTCCAGACGTTTGCAAGCCACCACTTGTACGCGTTTCACACAAACATTTATTGAGCGTCTATTATGTGGAGAGGGGCTTCCAACCCAGCAGGGAAGACAGAGGCTGAGGGAGGGGAGCACAGCAGGCTTCACCCTGAGGAGGGTGGCCCCTGCCGAGCCCGCGGCCATCCTGCACCCTGCGCCCCCGGCAGGGCCCCCGTGCCACGCAGGCCCTCTCTGTGGTCGCGACCGGCTCTGCGCGCCAAGCAGAACGCTGAAAAGCAACATTGGGAGGAGTGGGGAGAGGAGAGTCCGAAGAGCAGAGGGAAATGGCTCGTAGCCCCCACCCCTTGGCCTCCTAAGGGTTTAGGAAGGAACGGTCTGGGGAGGGGGCTTCCGCGTCCCGCGCGCTGTGCTGTGAGCGCCCCGGCGGGGCGAGGTCCGGAGGGAGGAGGCGTCCGGCTCCCGGTGATTTCGCTGGGGAGGGGGCCGCGCGCGCGCGCGGGCTCAGGACGTCCCCGGCTCCCGCGGCCCCGCGCGCCCAGCCCGCCGCTGCCGCCGACCGCGCCAGCACAGGAAGGCGGCGGCCAGGAGCCCGAGGCCCGCGCCCAGCGTGGTCAGCGCCACGCCCTGCTCCAGGTCCAGGTGGGGTCCGCGCAGCGAGAAGGTGATGGCCGTGGCGGCGGCGCCGGCCAGCAGGGTCACGGCGCCGAACGGCAGGACGCAGCGCGGCCAGGAGCCCCCCACGCCGCCGGTGGCCAAAAGCAGCGCGCGCAGGGCCCCGGGGGGCTCGGGGGGTGCGGGGGGCGCGGGGGGTTCAGGGGGCTCGGCAGGCGCCGCGGGCGGGGGCTCGGGCGCGCTCATGCCGCCGACGGGGGGCCGCGCTCTGGGTGGGTGTGGGCGCCCGCGCAGCCCCCACTCTCGTCCTCCTCGACCGCCACGTCAGAGCGGATTGGCCCGGGATGCGGTGACGCCACCGGGACGCTGGGGAGAGGAGTTCGCCGCCGCCTCCCGACTTGGCGCTGAATCAGGGTGGGCGGGCACGAATCTAGAGGGGGGCGCTCACCCAGACCTCTGCCCTCCTTCTCCCTCAGGCTCGGGGCGGCACCTTCCTGCCCAGGTGCGGGCAGCCCTCCACAAGACACCACCCGGACTGGTCCTGATAGGTGGGTCATTGAGTCCACAACCTTCAGGCGCCCATCTGGGCTTTGCTAGGAACCAAGGTGGACAGCACCCCTGCCCTCACCGGGCAGAGGTCCAGTAGGGAAGGTACACCATAAACCAAGTGGGCTGGCAAATTAAATAATTATGGTGGAGACCACTAGCTATGGAAACTGATTTTGGCCAGTGACAGGGTGGTGGTGGGACTCACCCTGGAAATGAAGGGCTCCTCAAGATCAGAGCAACTGGGAATGAGCTCTGGAAGCAGCAAGGGAGTGGCCAGGAGGGGGTAGGCATCTCCCAGGCTTCCCATCTCTTGGCTTCCCCTTCCCTGTTCCTGCTCTGGGCAGTGGACGGAGCTCTTCCACTCCCTACAGGCCCCTCAGTGCAACGAGGACTGTTTTTAGGTTTCCTACTTTGGTCTGTCATCTGGTTCCCAGCAGCCTGCAATACCGGAGATTCCATGTTCAAGGTTTCTGGCCTGTGGGACTGTGGGGGCTTTTACAAGTAGGATTTCCTGCTGGGGGCCCTGGGGCCACCCCAAGGCTGCTTCAACATCACTCAGCTCATTCCCCATTCCTGTGACACCTCACCTGGCTCTCAGAAAACCTGGCCTTCTCCAGAAGCTACCTGGTCCAGGGCCTGGGTCCCCTTGGGGCAGAGGCTGGTGCTAATTCCCTGTGGCTCATCGCTAGCTACACAAAGGGCCAATGACCCAGCTCTGAGGATTGTGCTTGATTGGCACAGGTGCCCAAACAAGGTTTACTTAACGAACACTACAGCCTCCCAGCTCTCCCTAGGGCCTACCACTGTGTAATTTGTCCTCGCCCCAGCCACAGGGGTAATAGCTATTACTGTTGGCACGTGGGCCCCTTGGGAGCCTTGCAGGTGTCATCTGAAACTGGCCGCACATGCAGAGGGCAGGCGGAGACTGAAGCAAGAGGTGGGCCCCTCCAGGTGGGTAGGTGGCAAGGTTCCTAAGCAAAAGGAACTTACAACCCTGCACCTGCCCGCCAGAGCCTAAAAGGTGGTGTCGGGAGAGGCCTTCCCTGGGCTCCATCCCCATGCAGGTGTTCTCAGTGCCACGTCACTACCTCAGGGCTGTGTCCCGGGAGCAGCCTCTGGGAGTGAAAAGGCCAGTGGAACCCACATTCCAAGGACAGGGGAGGGCGTGAGGAGCCTCCCGTGGCCCAGATCCAGCTCCCGGGGCAGCGGGTGGTCGCGTCTCTTCAATAACCTCTCCCAACAATTACCCCCAGTACGACAGTGGGGACGACACTGAGAATTGAGGCTCAGGGCCCTTAAGAATCTTGCTGAAAGTCCCACAGCAGAAATCAAGTCACAGTGGAAACCCAAACCTGTGACTGATATAAATCCAGAGGCCATGACCTTGAGCTCTACGTTTTTCTTGCCTTCCTTCAGCGGGGGAGGCTGGAGCCTTGGAGGAGGTGACAGTGGCGTAGGTGAGGGGCAAGTTCCCTGGTGGTCAGTGTTGGGGGGCCCACACTGGCCACAGCAACAGCCCAGAAGTAGTGTGCACGGGTGCTAGAAGGACCGCTGTGGCCACACAGTGCCTGCCCACTCTGATATGGGCTGGTGGCTTTTGTGTCTTCCAGTGAGCTCCGTCCAGGCGATTGGGGGGAGGGGTTTCAGGTGTGCTAGGGCCCAAGCTTGAGGGGAGTCCCCAGTGTTGCTCACCTTCAGTGTCCTTCCCCTCCCTTCAGTACAGAATGTCTGTGTGTTCTCAATAAATATGATAAATATGCTTGCTATGTTCTTGGTAAGCAAAAACACAAAGAAAAAACCAAATACACCAAGTTCCATCTTATACATATATGCTTTCTAAAGTAGTTTTAATGTCACACAAGTGGCTTGTAAGTCTGCAGCAAGAAAAAACAGAGGTAGCTAAGAAAAAAGCCCAACAGGCCTCTGGTCTCCAAGCCTGCAGAAGGCCAAGCCACGTGGAGGCCTGACCACTAGCTTTGCGGCCCTGGGCTCCTCAGGAAGAACCAGGGGGCTGTCCCCAACCCAGCCGGGGAACCCTGGCTTCCCAGGGGGGCATAGCCATCTCTGGGCCCCCAGGCCCACCACATCAAAAATCCTCTCAATCCCCGTTCACCTAATAGGGTGCTGCTCTCCCAGTCGTCTGGGTCAGAACAAGCTCACCCTCTTGCTGGGGTCAGGCGGCCTGGGAAGGGGGCAAGGTGTGGGGCTGCTGGCCATGCGAAGGGCTCAGTCGGCAGGTTCATCTTGAAGGATGGTGAGGAAGCGCTCCCCTCCCTCACAGAGCAGGCTATGCACAGCTCGGCAAAGCACCAGCCAGGATGGCCCCTGCGGGTCCCGTGTGCTCACCAGTGGGAAGAGTTCAGCCATCAGGACCTAGGGGGTAATTCAGGGCCAGGATCTCCACGGGGGCCCTGTCCCCGGCAGCTAGCTGAGGGCTTGAAGAAGGCCCCCACAGCGGGGCAATTCCAGGGAGGGCTTCAGGCACCACGTGCCAGCCCTTTCTTCCTTCGAAAGCTCTGCCCCTGGGCCAGTGCTGTCAGCTGTGCACAGTCCAGAGGCTCCGTCTGCTGGATGGGCCCAAAGCCCACCACTCCCCTGGCACCCAGTCACCACTCCCCACCCCCTTACTCGGGCTGTACCTTTTCCAGGTGGATCTGCTGCTCTAGCATGGCCACCCGCAGCCTGAGGGCCGCCAGAGTCTGCAACTCCTTGGTGCTGGAGTAGAGAAGAAGCTGGGGGCTCCAGCTAGAGTCTGTTCTTCCTTCACAGGGCATTGAGGCTCTGGGGCATCTCCCCTCAGGCCAGGGCCTCAGCTGCTGTCCCGCCACCGCTGTGAGGACAGGGGGATGTGGCCTCATGGGGTGACAGCCAGGGACCTCCTTCGCACTTGCCTCCTGGATGAAGCCCTACTATCCACCAACAACCGTCTCTTGCAATACCAGGCAAGTCATCTGCCAGTACGTCTCTGACTCTCATGTGACACTATCTTGGGAATGAGATAAATAATCTATCTATTTACAGTGACAGGGCTGTGCCTGGAGAGGCAGTGGGGTGACCCTGCTCCTGGGCAGCTGCTAATGCTGCCCTTTGTCTAGAGGACCTTGACCGCTGACCAGACCTCAGTACAAGGTGGGGTGGGGGTGGGGGGCCAGCTCTCACCTGCACGCAGCTCCTGCACTCTGTGGAGGCACTGCCCCGTGATGGCCTGCAGCCCCTCCAGGGTAAGCAGGCAGTGGTACTCCTGCATCCAGTCAGCAGGGTCTACGCAGGAGTCAGGGAGGGTAGGCCAGGTCCATGCCAGTCCCAAGCCCTCCCTGCCCCAAGACACACACCAGGGCCCACTCACCTGCCGAGAGCTCTTCCTCCATTTGCCATCTCAGCAGCGAGCAGGCCTTCCGGAGGAGCCCCACCTCCGCCTCCACCTCCGCAGCACTGAGCCCAGAGCCGGGCCAGCCTGACTGGACACGGATCAAGGAAACTCCTCTGCAGCCAGGTTCCCTCCTTCCTCTCCCGCCAAGGACAGGACCCCAGAGTGGCCCTGGCCCTTCCTGGAGTTGCCCCTTAAACTCACCAGGCTTAGAGCCAGAACCACCCCCCGCCCCCACCCTGGGGGGGGGGCGGTCCCACAAGCCCAGCAAGAATACCATCATCTTCATTTTCTGGAGAAACTGGGTTTTGGCCGTGGTAGCAGCATCCCTGGAGTCACTGGTCTGTGTAGAGCTGAACTGGGCCCACAGGCTGGAATGCAGGCACCCGGGAACCAGAGGGGTATGTTAGTTAGTCCATCCAGCTGGGCCTCAGGAGGCAGGGAAAGGCCAGGGGTAGGGGCCCCATGAGGGGTGTCTGGCTCTGCTGAATGCCAGGAGGCGCCTCCAGAGGCCGTGGGGAAGGGAGAGGACGCTGTCCGTGAAAAGGGGACAGAGTGGACCCACTCTGGGAAGTACGAGGAGAGAATTCGAGGGAGGAGAGGAGAGGAGCTGGCAGCCCTGGGTCACTGGGACTAGCTGGGACTCCGAAAAGAATTCTGGAGCAGACACAGCACTAACCGTGAAAAGCACCACCTTGTTTAACCCCTACTGCACCTCTACGGAGCTGACACTCACCCTCACCTCCACAGAGAAGACAGATGGGGACGCAAAGTCTCCCAACCTCAAAGCCCGCTGAGTCTAAGTCCTAGCTAGGCAGACTCTCTTAACGTGGAAAGTCTCCCCACCCAGCCAACAAAGCAGAGGGGCCTGCTAGAAAAGTCTTACCAATGCGGCCCTGTGCTGGTGGCAAGCCTAGGCCTCCCTGCTCGCCCCTCCACCCCCACCCAGCTGAGATCCAGCCTTACCGGGAGTTCTGGGAAGCCGCTTTCCTGTAGGCCATAGGTAGCTTCAGCAGAATGCTGTCAGAGAAGCCAGTGCTCAGAGTAGCCTCTCTCTGGGGGGCCCCCGCCACAAACAAGCAATAGGGCTTCCAGCTTGGTTGTGGGAGCCAGCACAGTCCAGGTCTGCCCTGACCGAGAGAAGAGAGGACACCAGGAGCAGAGCCCAGGCCCTCCACAGCCCATCTGGAGCCCCCGGCCTGAGTGGGTAAGAGGATGGGGCACTGGACAGCCAGGGAGAAGGGGACAGACCCCAGCAATGGTCCATTCTGCCAGCTTTGGGGCATGGATCTCATGGGATGGCACCCTGGGGGCTTCCCTGACCCACATCCAGCTCAATGCCCTGCCCTCCCTGTCATCCCAGCTTCCTGCTGCTGGCCAGGATCTGATCAGGCAGACACAACAGTTCCTCCAGGAAGGGTCTGGGAAACCTACCCCTTCTCCTTCAGTGTGAAAGCTTCTGGGGCCTGAGGAGCAGCCGATGGGGGTATCTGTTGGTCCCTCAGGCCTGGTCCAGGCTTGGTGGCTCGGGCTCCTCTCGCCATACGGGTGCGATCCCCCACTGATGGAAGCCTGCCCTCAGGGAGGCCTCTGGCAGGCACCGTGGTCTGGTGGGCGCCCCTGGGTGGTTTTGTCTCTGAGGCTCGACTCCAAACCTGGCTTGAGGCCCGGGACGGGGCAGAGGCTGTGGTGGCAGAAGTGGCAGCATCCCCAGACTTGAGGCTGAGGGCCTCGTGTCTTTCTCTAGCCTTAGACATGCCTTTTCTCACCCGTACAGCCTTCTCCAGTGCCTGGGTCAGAAGCTCCAGCTCCTTGAGTTCTTGACGGCTGGGTGTGCATGCTGCAAAACCCAAAAACTCGCAGTGGTCACTCACCACTGCTCGTCAGAAAACAGAGCAGGGGCAGTGCCAAGAGAAAGTGGGTGGTGGAGGTTTACCGGGAGATGGGACCTCTTCATTAGTTTCTGGCCCTGGGGCTGGCTCCGCAGCCGGCGTCTCGACTGGTTCCCTGCCAAGACACAGTACAGGCGTGGCACGGCCAAGAGGCAGGGCCCAGAACCTACCGACCCCAAGGAGCCGCCTGGCCTCGCGGCAGCTCCCCACCCTCAGAGCCTGCAGACAAAGGGGAGCACAGCTGGCAACAAGCAAGTGGGCGCTGGGCCCGGGCTAGCAGTCGAAGAGCTCTGAGCGGGGTTCCGAGGGCGGCCTCGGGGTCCGCGTACCAGGTCCGCAGCAGCCGGCGGGAGACACGCAGGCTCCGCTCCAGCTGCTGCTGTCGCTCGGCGCAGGCGTCCAGGGCATCCCGCAGCTCAGCCACCAGCCTGGGGGGGGGCGCACCAGCGGCTCAGCACCCCGGCCTGCTGAGCGCCGCGCCCCCTCCCGCCCCGCTCCCTCCCAGCGCGCGGGTCTCACCGGCGCGAGCAGTCCGCGGGCAGCATGAAGGCAGCCGCGGACCCTCCGGATTTGCCGCCTCCGGGAAGTCGGGTCCTTTCCGGGCTAGGAGACCGCCCCCTTCCGGCCGGGCTACCCAATCCCGAGCCCAGGGCTCAGGGCCCGCCCCCGGCGCTCCGGCTCCCGCGTCCCCGCCCTCAGCGCCCCGGCCCCGCCTCCGGCGCTCGGGCTGCCACGTCTCCGCCCCCGCGGCACCCGCCGCGACTCCCACTCGGAGCTGGGCCCCGGGGTCTCAGAGGGTCCTCTGGTGGTGCACGGACATCTGGTTTGGACGACTGGGTAGATGGAGGCACCTGTGATTGCTTACGGTTGAGTTTGTCTTTGTCCTATTGAAGGCGCCCTAAAGCAGGGCCGAGGTGCTCTGCGGACCCCAGGCCACCTAACGCGGGGCAAGGTACTTGACGGGGCCCAGTACGTATTTCAATATACACGTGTGTTGGGGGCACAGCTAGGGAGGAGGGAGCGTTCCCTTGTGGACATCCCGGTGAGGTGACGACATTCGGGGGTGGCATCAGGTAGGCACCTGAGCAGAGGCACATCAAAGTCCAGAAGACCTGGGGTGGTGGCCTGAGAAAAATGGGCTGGGGCCAGATGGTCCAAGGTGGGGCAGGAGTATAGACGGGGACTGGTGAAGGATGGGTGATGGAAGGGGAGCTGGAGCCCAGAGAGGTGGAGGGACAGTAGAGCCAGGTGTCACAGAAGCAACCTGAGGCTGTTCCAGGAGGGTCGCCACAGATTGGAGGATGGGGCCTTCAGTGACTCAGACAGCTGGGGGACAGGTGCTAGCTGGGAGGAGTGATGAAGGCAGCAGGGCCCCATGTAATTGGAGTTAATAAGTAGGACTGTGAACCCTGCAAGGGCTGAGAAATCTCAGGGGGAGCTGCACGGATGACATGCTGGGGATGGGGGAGGTTGCTTCAAGATGGAGAGGTGTCCATTTCATAGCTGCTGGGCGGCGGGGGGTGGGGGGGAGCTGGGGGCCCCATGCTGCTTGGGGCTGTTCCAGAGTGGGAGCTTAGGGTGGGCCCGTCCACGGGCAGTGGCCCATTCTCATCTGGAGGGAGGAAGGGAGGGAGAGCCTCCGATCAGCACAGGCAGGTGGCATCAGGTCCCCACTGGAGTGGTCTCCTACAGGTGCAGGCGGGGAGAAGGCAGAGAGCCGGGTCCATCCAGAGTTGAGCTTTTGACAATGGGCCACAGACAAGGAGGTGGGCAGTTCAGATATGCACATCACTCAGCTGCCACTACCCTCATCACATTTAATCCCCACAATACCCCTGTGAGGTAGGTACTATGGCCCCATCTTAGAGATGAGGATACTGAGGCTCACACATGCCCAGGGACACAGTTGACAGGAAAGATCTGCAATCTCAACCGTGCCCCACTGGGGTGGTCAGAATTCTCTTAGAGGAGCAGGAAGACAGCTCCCACACCCACACCCACACCCACGCTCGCACACACACAAGCACCCAGAAAAGCTACCGCGGGGTATCTCTTCCTTCCACAGAGCTCAGGTTCAAGAGCATTTGGGGGATGGCTCCTGGCCCAGTGGTTCTTTCTGACGTTCTGAGAAGCGGCAGAAGCTATCTGTGCAGGGCATGTGTCTCAGTGGTCCACCCAACCGGGGGCTGGTTGGGGTGAGTCTAGAGCAGACCCCGCCGGTGTTTTGGCTGCTGTACCCAGGAGGTGGCAGGTGTGGGGGAGCCTCAGGAACCCACAGCAGATCCACCCTCACCCAACAGGTGGGGACAGGTCCTCTGAGTCTCACTCTTCTGCACTGTGGTCACCTCAGATGTTACAAATGACAATTTTTTTCCATCTAAACTCTTTGGGAAGAGTGTCAGGATAGCATTGAGGGATCTGAATCAGATGTTCCTTTTTCCTTTAGTTGAGCCTAAATAAAGTTAAGAATCTCTCTCTTTTTTAAATTTAATGCCTTCTATCTTTAATTTTTTTTTATTTCCATCTTAGAAGAACAAAGGATGGAAATAGAGAGGAAAAGAAATGGCCTAGAAATTCAGTGCAAAGAGAGGTGTTCATACAGACACCACCTGCTGGGGACAAAGACCAATCACTCTGGAGGAAGGGACAGATTTCTGAGGGAGCGGACAGTGTGGTGGGCAGGGAGCTGAGGGCCAAGAAAGCAATTAGGGCCCCCCACCTGGCGGTCCCATGCAGTCCACAGCAGTGTGCAGGGGCATGGCTCCCTCAGCAGGAGACCTGCCACCCAGTGAGGACGGAAGTGGCGGGGGGGGGGGGCGGGGTGCGGAGATATGAGGACGGTGGGGCGCTCAGAGCTGTCAGCTCCCCCAGGAGCCCAAAACCAGAGAGACGCTGGGAGGGGAGCTGGGCCAGGCCACCTGGCCACACGTGTTCTCAACTGTGAAAGCTGTCGGCTCCTGGGATGGGCCTCAGTGGGGCTGGGGAGATCAGGACGTGGGCTCAAGCTCCCCAGAGGGAGCAGGACAGACACAAGAGGGGACAGAGAAACGGGCTTCACAGGGTGTGGCATGATTGCTTTGAGGCTAAGCTTCCCAAAGGGAAGTTTTTGTTCTGATTCAGACATTCTGACGGCTCGCATGGGACTACCCTGGAGAAAGAAACTTAGCGTCCTGTGTTCTCTCCATTCCCTGTGCAGGAGCCACTGGGGTCCACACAGCGTCCATCTCCAGTGCCCCCATGGCTCCCTAGTGCAGCGGCAGCCCTCCCTTAGCCAGTGTTCCCTGCGGCCAGCACGGGCACACTCGCAGCCTCAGCAAGCCTGGCTCAGGGCCCTCTCCTCCTCCCCTTCCTCCTTGCTGTGGGTCGATAGGTTTTTCCTCTTCACCTGGGGAACGCTGCTCTCCGGAGGGCTTGGAGAGCGACACTGTAAACACGACTTCTTGGTGTGGTGGTGGCAAGGCTGTGTGTTTGAGTCGCTGCCTGGGGACAGCACTGAGGTAGATTGGGGAGGGCCCCCTGAGATGCCGTCCACTGAGTTTGTGGGACTTGTGCTGCTGATGGAGGAGTACCCTGAGGTCACGCTGTCCCCGCCTGGCTCCCTTGTGCTGCAGAGCCGAGGCTCAGGCTCTGGCGTTGGAGGCGTCTGGGGGCCTGGTACCCAGGTGCGCGGGTCCTGGCGTCCCCTGTCCTCCGGGCAGGCCTCCTCATCACTCGATTCCTGGCAGCAGTGCTGTTCGGGGCTCAGATAGACCACGGTGACATCGAGGATGCCGCTGGGGGCCGTCACTGTGGGAGACATGGGGAGAGAGATGCGGCCACTGCCCGAGCAACGGGGTGCCCCGCTGCCCAGTCAGGACCCCCAGTGGCCCAGGGTCCAGCTCTTCGCCAGGACAGGTGTGGCTCTCACTGGACTGTCCCCTGTACTGCTCTCCTTTGGGTAAGAAATTGAGGGTGGCACTCAATGTGATTTGGGGGAGAGACTACAAACTAGTTACCAATAATTCACTTAATCCCCAAGTGGACACAAAGCAAGCAATTGGAAAGTTGACAGAAACTGCTTCAACTGGGCTTCCTTTGTGTTTAGCTGCTCGAGAACATAGGGGCAGAGCCTCCGACAGGCAGCTCTGGAGGGGTGCACAAGGAACAGCGCCCAAAAGGGCAGTGGGTGGCACATCTCACACAATGTTCAAGAAAGAACTCCTTGTGAATTGCAGACAAGGTCTCTTCTGCTTCCCTGCCCTGGTGAAGCCCTCCCACAGTCCTGGCTGGGGCCGGACACAGGTCTTTTCTCCCCGCCGGGGGCTGGGAGAATGCCTACCCTGGCTCCCGACCCCACTCTGGTGTTCTAGGGGCTCTGCTGTCTCACGCCTGCCTGGGTGGGGGCCCTGCCCCCGAGGGGGCATCTGGGTGGCCTCCAGGCCGTGGCACTCACCGTCACCGTCCTTCTCACCCTCGCTTTCCTGGTCACCCTCGTAGCCAGAGCAGTAGTCCAGGCTCCAGTCCAGAAAGCTGCCCAGCAGCATCTCCTCCTGGCTGGACAGCTCCGCGGTGGGCGTGGTGACGAAGCTGCCCCTGTCCTCCTGGAGGCTGTTCTCCCGCTTCCTGCAGGGTGGGAGAGCCAGGAGCCTGGTCATGGCTGGTCCTCCTACCCAGCCTGGTCCCCTCTGCACTTGCCCGCCCTGGCCTGCTGTGCTGGGTGCGGGGACAACACAGCTACCCAGCTGCCTGCCCTCAGGAAGCTCGCAGCAAAGCTCCTAGAGGCAGGGCCGGTGGCACAGTGAGGGGCTGCGCATCTGGACTTGGCGGGTGGGTAAGGTGGGAAGGGCAAGTTATTCCAGGTGGTTGAGCCAGGACACTGAGACGGGGGACACGCGTGGGATAGACTCGGGAGACGAGGGGGAGATGGGGAAGCCTGGGAAGTGCGGAGGGACAGGGGCGGGAGTGACAGCAACACCGTGGAACAGGGTGGCCCACGGGTGCTTGAGCTGGGCTCAGCCTGTGCTTGAGACCACCTTTGCCCCAAGGGGCCAGGTTAAAGCAAGAGAGACAGCTGCACTGGAGACAGAGAACAGGGTGGCCGACAGTGGAGATCGGGCCCAGGAACCAAGGCCTGGATTCAACCCCAGCTTCAGTTTTCGTGGAACCTGCTGCTTCTCCCTGCTACGTCTTAGAAGCCCCCTGTGTAAAACGGGGTAACAGAGCCCCTCAGACAGCCATGGGGGTCCCCAGCGAACCAGGCCCAGCACGCACGGTTTCAGACACGGGGCTCACTCACCGCTTGGTCCGCCTTCCTGAAGGAGAGGTGAGGAAGGCATGGATGTCCCCTGTGCTGAGGAACGACGTGGGCTCCGGGCTGTCCTGCTTCACTCCCAGAGCTGCGCACAACTGGCCGTAGCTCAGTACCTGAGAGGAGACCCAGTCAGGGGGAGGGACGGGGCCGGGAGGGGCCGGCGGCCGGGGTGGGCGGCGGGGGCGTGGGCACCTCTTCCTGGCTGATCTCTTCGTAGCGCTTGTCCTCAAACCGCTGCTTCACGGCAGTCAGAGACACTTGCCGGTAGTCCTTGGGGGCGTCATCGTGGAAGCTGCAAACAGGGACAGTGGGGTCACATGCAGGGCTCCAGGGCGGGTGGCATCGGCACCCCAGCCCAAGGGACTCTGGGGCTCAAGTCAGAGGCTGGGGTTCTGACGTGTTCTGAGTCCCGGAAGTGCCCGAGGACAGGCAGAAGGCCAGAGTCCCCCAGACCCGCACGCAGGGCAAGAGCGCAGAGCGTGGCCCGGCCGAGGTGGCAGCGGCTGGGCTTTGGCACGGGCACGTGTCGGGAGCGGGCACTGGAGTGAGCGGACGAGGAGCAGGGCCGCGGCAGGAAGCAATCGCAGCCGGCCAACTCCGGAGCGAGGGGACAGGTGGTCCCATGCCACACTGGCCACTGCTCAGGCAGCCAGCTTCGATGTTTCTATTACCATCTGCCGCCTGCAGGGTGAGCTCTGGGTTGGGAGGAGCTGCTGTATGCGCATCAAATGTCAAAACTGTGCCAAACAGGCAACGTGACCTGGCGTTTTTCCAGGTCGACTCTGAGAACGCAGTGCCCTGCGGGGCAGGTCTGTGTGCGGGTTGACAGCGAGCTCCCCGTGGGACATGAGGATGCAGCCTCTGTGGCAGCTGGGTGGGGGCTCACTTCCTTCTACAGACTCACCACTTCTGATGAAGGCTCAGGACACAGGGTATGAGGTCTTCACAGGAGAACCCAGTCAGGTCCCACAACCGTGTGGTCCAGGGCTGTGCTGGGGAGGAAAGCAGGGGTGCTGGGGCCGTGCTGACACCCCCCCACCGCGTCCCACGGCCCCCATGGTTCTGCTGTGCAGTTTCCTAGAGCTCGGGGTGACAAACGCCCCATGCTCGCTGTCAAGGTGCGGGAGATACTTACGCTATAACCATCTCTTAACTTCGCCCCCACAGAACGGCTTTAGTCTGTCCTGGTGTCTCCTTGAGCGGAGACGCACATGCTCTTTTTTTCTCCCCCACGCCCCCTCGCATCTGAGAGTCGTCTCCTGTGTCCTGACTTGGGGAATCCCCAGTCCCCAGCTTGCCCTGCTGAGCAGCCGGCGGAAAGGCGGGCTCCTTACCCTGCCCGTGCGTCAGCCTTGCGAGCAGTACGGCGGCTGCGGCCAGACGGGCTGGAGCGTAGGCCGCCAGGCTGGTGTGCAGCAGGGAGAGCTCGCACAGGAAGCTGCACAGGTGCTGGGTTCTCGGTGCCACAGGGACCAGCGTCAGCAGGACGTCCTTGTAATCAACCACAGTGGGGACCTACATGGGGCAGGGAGGTGACGTGGGGTCCTGGCATGCAGAGGGCTCACCCACCCACTCAGCGGGGAGGCTGGCCCTGCCCATGTTCACACTGGCACCAGGGTGTTGCAGTGACCAGCTGCAGCTCCAGCCTCGTGCCCTCTGGGTCCAGGAGGACTTTCCAGAGCAGGAAAACTCAACACCACGCAGGAGCCCGATTCCTCCTGTCCCCTCCCATGGCTTCAGCTCTGATGTGAAAGTAAACAGCAAATAGCCACTTACCCGAATCTTCCCTTCCAGGGCAGAGATGATCTCTCCCATCATCCGCACCAGGTCCTCATATTTGTACGTGTTGTCTGTGAGCCACACAGCCTCGCGGATCGTCAGAATCTCTTTGCTGATGAACCTAGAATGTCATGCAGGGGTCTGAGCAAGGAGTCTGCTCTCCCTGAAGGCAGCGATCACTTCAGCCCCATTGATGGGGCGGGGGAGGAGGTCAAAGAGTGGACTGAGCTGCCTGCAGCCCCCGAGAGGAACAGATGAGCTCGTGTGACCCTGTCTGAAGGGTCTGCAAAGGAAGTGGGACTGGTGCCGGCCGTGGGAGTGGCCAGCTCCAGGCACGCAGAGGTGTCTGCAAAAGGCACCCACAATTGACGTGACTGGTCGATCCTCTTAATGACCTGAGGATTAAACCAGCTTCTACAGAGCACATGTAAACAAGAGCTTAAACCTGGGAGGTGGATGAGCCAGCAGGAGGAGGGCTGGAGGTTGTTTGAAGGTAGGTGCTCAGCACGGGTCTGGCCATCTGTTCTCGACTCTCCGGTGGCCCCAACTAGCAGGGAACACGCTGGTTCAGTAGCCTGCCGGCAAGGGAGCAGAACCAAGCCGTGGCTGCTCTGTCCTGGGGACGCTGTAGCTGCCCCGTTTGCTATGGGCTTGACCGAGAGAGAAGACGGGAGATGCGGGGAGCGCAGGTACGGAGGGCATGAGGCGGGAGTGGGCCCAGTGGGGCTGGGTGTTGGAGCTCCCAGGCAGAGGGCCACGGCAGGCACTGCTCTGAGCAGAGGTGGGGCATCTCTGCCACTAGGATCTTTATAAAGCATCTCACTGCTAGCCAGTTGGTGGTCCAGTCATTTGGTTTCTGATTACAAGGGTGTAGTTATGCTGCTCGGGCACGAGGAGGTGGGGCCTGTCTGTTCCGCCACCTCTACTGAGAAGGTCTGAATGCAGGGTCCCATGAGCATGCCTGAGGGGCTGGGCGGCAGGTGGCTGCCTTGCCTGCAGCCCCAAGCCCACGCTGGTCCCCTACAGACCACACATACCAGTTCCCAGCATGACCACATGACTAAGCTCACTGCATTGGACACGGTTGCCTCAGGGGTCACCGGGGGTGGCAGAAAGTAAGACAGGAGCTGGGGCTTTCCGTGACCTCATGACATAGAAAAACCACCCCAACAACATAAGCCTGGACCCCCTGCCTCAGGGCTACACACAAAGGAAGTCCGAGTGTCGGAGTGCACCCCGCTGTGCATGGCGAGCCCGTCCCTCACACCCCAAGGCTCTCGGACAAGGATGGCAAGTCTGCAGGGGGAAGGGCAGACCACACGGGCATGTCTGCCTTAGGAAGACAAGAACACTCAAGATGTTTCCAAGGCAAAACTGGGGCGGACAAGTATTGATAAAAGACAGATTTAGGTAAAACGTAAGCTGGTTCTGCACGAAAATTCAGAGTTGCCAAGGGTGCAGGCAGCTGTATGAGGAGGCACCCAGTGTTCGCAGTGGGACTGGGCTGTTCTGGGAGCTGGCTGGGGGCATGAGACCCTCTAACTGCAGGTCTCTGATGACACAGGCTAGAGAGCTCGACAGCTGAGAAGGGGTCTTTCCGTGATCTCGGAAGGAGGACCCGGGGGGGCAGGTCACCACGTCACCCTCAGGGGCCAGGGGAGGAGGGGCCCAGCCTGAACCCGCCTGAGCAAGGCCATGTTCTGGGGTCCCCGCAGGCCGGGATGAGCGGCCACGCACGCACCAAGGGTCAGTCCCCCATCTGAGGAGAACTACTCTGCTTGCGCTCTCCCTGAAGTTCAGACCCACATCTGATGAGGTGGGACACTGAAGCCTCCTTTCATCGACAAGCCAGCCCAGGAGGCTGGGCAGGCCCAACATGCTGAGGGTCATCTCGCAGATCCTGCCCGGGGGCGGGGGGCTTACCGGGTGCAGATGACCATGCAGGCAATGCCCAGCAGCTGGAGCCTGTACCGGGGCACCAGCCTCCTCCGCAGGTACCGGTCCACGCACTCCACGGTCAGGTGAAGGCACAGGCTCGTGAAGTCCTTCATAGTGGCAACTTCTACCAGCCAGTCAATCAAGATGTACCTGCAGGAAGAGCACCACCCCTGAAAATGAGGGTGAGCATCCCATTCCCGCCTGGCCCGTCCGTCCGCAGGGAGTGAGCTGGTTGTCGGCAGCATCGTCGATTTACCCAGGAACTTGTCCCAGCCAGAGGTGCCAGGTCCATGGGGGCTGGGAAGGCCCCAAGGCTGCTGGGTTCCGAGGAGGAACCTGGGCTCACACACCTGTGTCCCCTGCCTTCTTCCACACAGACAGCCAGGTACCGGATGAGCCCAGACACAGGTAAAGGGCAAGGTGGGGCCACCCTGGAGGGCTGAGGATAGATCACAGGGCCCGGGACAGGAGAACAGTCACATGAAGCTGGCAAGACCTGTGGCCCTCCTGCAAACCTATATCCTCCTCGTGGAGCGGCTCCATCCATGGGGTCATTTATCTCGACCCTCTGCAATGGGGCAGAGAGCCGGAATGGAGCTAAAGGAGGGTGCCCTGAGCCCAGCACCGGACTTCTCAGCACCCAGCAGCCCTGGTGGGGCTGATAGACATGCGGTCCCTCCTCGAGGGGGCTCAACCTGGGACCAGGGACACAGACCTCACACGGGAGTGCTGGGTGCCACAGCAAGGGTGCCCGAGTATGGTCAACAGCTCTCTGAACAAAGGAGAGGAGAGACCAGAAGCAAGAGGGAGAAGAAACAAAGCTGCTGGGGTCTGGGCAGGTGTTCCAGGTGCCGGGTGGAAGCATCTGTCACAGGTGGAGGGAAGGAGGGAGATGGGAATGGGGGTGAGACAGACAGCCTGTGCTTCCTCCCAGAGCTGGAAGACCGCGTGAGTGCCGCCAGGTGTTGGAGGTTTTATTTTAATATTTTTTTTTAAAGATTTTATTTATTTATTTGAGAAAGAGAGAATGAGAGACGGAGAGCACGAGAGGGAAGAGGGTCAGAGGGAGAAGCAGACTCCCCGCCGAGCAGGGAGCCCGATGCTGGACTCGATCCTGGGACTCCAGGATCATGACCTGAGCCGAAGGCAGCTGCGCAACCAACTGAGCCACCCAGGTGTTGGAGGTGCTCTCAGGATACACCTTCTCAGAGGAGGAGGAACAGTGGGGAGAGAAGGGGCTGCAGCCGCCGGCACTGGCCCAGGGTTCCATAGCACAACAGCTTGCTGACATGGAATGTGGGAGCAGAGGACAGTGCGTCCCTGCACCGGGTGCGAGATCAAGCCTCTCCAGGGAAGCCATGATCCTGTTAAACACAGATGTCTACTGAGCACGTTCCTGCCCCTTCAAAACCCAAAGCATGTTTTTCATTAATTAATTTTTTAGAGAGAAAGTGGGGAAGGGCCGAGGGAGAGGGAGAGAGAGAGAATCTTAAGCAACCTCCATGCCCAGCCCAGAGCCCGACACGGAACTCGAGCTCAGTGCCCTGAGATCATGACCTGAGCCGAAATCAAGAGTCGGACACTCAGCTGACTGAGTCACCCAGGTGCCCTTCCGAAGCATATTTGAAATCTCGTGGAAGCTTAAAGAATCATTTACGTTTTCTACATTAATTTCTAACATATCCTGTGACTGAGTGAAAACCCTAGGGGCAGGGCACGCGGGGCGGGAGGCCACCCCAGAGGGCTCTGCTCCCCGCTCTGGGCACGCGCGATGGCCGCGGACCCTCGTTTGCCACACCGAAGCTCACAAGAGGAGGCGTCAAGAAGAGGTGGTGTTTTGGGGCGCCTGGGTGGCTCAGTCGGTAAGCGTCTGCCTTCGGCTCAGGTCATGATCCCGGGGTCCTGGGATCGAGTCCCGCATCGGGCTCCCCGCTCCGCGGGAAGCCTGCTTCTCCCTCTCCCACTCCCCCTGCTTGTGTTCCCTCTCTCGCTATGTCTCCCTCTGTCAAATAAATAAATAAAATATTTAAAAAAAAAAAAAAAGAAGAGGTGGTGTTTTGCCTACTGAAACTGGCAATACAAATCCCATCATTTTAGAAAGACGCTTAAATGGTGTAACACGTTCTGAGGGTTAAAAAGGAAAATGAGCACGGACACTCATGGGGGATATCTTCTCTTCAAAGCCCTGGAGAACGGGGGCATCCCCGGTTTTGGAAAACACGCGCATGAAGGGGGGTTCCAGCGGGGCTGCTAGCCCCGGCGCCCTGTGGCAGCGGCTTGGGTGGAACGGGCCCGACAGCCCCCTTCCCGAGCCCGGAGCCCAGCTGCTGCTCTGCCTCCGCCCACTGTCCCGCGCAGATGCTCGCTGTCGCGGTCCTCACCTCATCGTGTCGCTGAGGCCCTTCTGCACAGAGAAGACCTGCTGCTTGCTGACGGCGCGGGAGGTCTGAAAGAGGGGGCGCACCACCCCGGCCGAGGCTGTCGCGCCGAGTCCCAGCTGGCTTCCATGCGCACAGGCTTTGGCTAAAGACAGCTGTGGGACAGACACACACGTGAGCGCGAAGCCGCGGGCTGCCAGGGGGAGAAGACGTGTGGGCACACAGCAGGCGCGTACACCTTCTCCACCTTCTGGAAACAGCACGGCTCAGGTTCTAACTACTCATTCTGAAATAAACACTGGGTCATGCAGTAACGAACTTCAAGAGGGACAAAACGTGCATTATGGAGTCAGCGAAGCAAAGGGGCCAAAACTGGCTGGAGGTTCAGATGACCTGGCTTTAAAACCTGGGTCTGTGTGAACACCACAGGCAAACTGGGGGAAGTGCTGTGTGCCTCAGTTTCCCTTTTCATGAGGGCCCAACAGCACCTGCCTAGGTAGCTGGGTGTGTGGGTTGACAGAGCTGTGTCCGCCACTTGGCATGGGCCCCCTGGCACCTCTAGACCCTCTGATGGTAACTAGCAACCATTTCTAGGTATTTCCTTCTAGATGTTTCTATGCATTCCTGATCATAGCACAGATACATTTTACCTTCTCTCAGCTCACCTAACAATAACGTGGTTCCTTAAGATATGAAACGCCTGTGTGTTTTACCTGTTTTTCCCTCCAGAGTTAGACTTGTTTTATTACTTTGTGGAACATCTCGGTGTAGCCATTTCGGGACTGGTACCTGTCTGCATACGTGGTCAACCTGCAGGGGCGGCTGTGCCTAAGTATTTTCTGAAAGGGCCGCACAGATTTTCATACCAGCTAAGTGAATGTTTTGTCACATCTTTGCCAGCAAAAAGTGCTCTCATGAAAAATGTGTACTCTCAGAAGTTATTAGCGATCCACTGAACACGTACAGAAAAAAGACATATGTACACACGATCTTGTTTAGCTGTGAGCCCCGTTAACTAGCGTTGAGGGGGGACGCTGCCCTGGGCTTTGACCAGTTTTTTCTATTTCCCCTTTTCCGGGAGCACACGAGGACCCTGTGAATGTTTATTGGAACGTTGCTATTCTCACAATCAGTTAGAGCTTCTGAGAGAACCGCGCTGTCTGCTATTCTCGCTGCCGCACATCTGACCGCCTGGGACATAAACGTCGCCATGTTCTGGGACGTGTCAGGCTGGGCCGCCCACCGCTCTGTGATTTCTTCCCTCACTTTTAGGGCAGAGGACTCTAAAACACCCCCCTGGCGGGGCGACAAGAGTGTTTCTACCTGCTTGGCAAAGGGGGACTGTCTTTGATTTGTCCTAAACGATGGTTCTTTACAGCTGCAACGGGAGAGCATCTGGAGAATGCCATCGGCAAATCCCTCACGTCCTGGTTCTAACCCTGGGCGACCCGGTGAGCAGGTGAAATGATGGCAACAGGGCAGCGTTGCACACCCCCATCTGCTCCGAGCTACCAGGCAACCTCAGGGAGCGACATAAGCACTAACAGCAGACCTAGTGCGGCCGCACCCAAGAACAGAGAGGCTGGAGGGCTGGGGGGGCAGGGGCTTGGAGGCGCCGGGGTGAAGCGCAGAGGTGAAGGGCGCACCCCCAGCTACACTCCTGTCAGCCCTGGCGTCGGCCCTGGGCCAGTCTTACTGCCCATGAGAGGAAGCCGGGCAGTCTCGCTGCCATGGGCCCCACAAGAGGAGCGGGAAGGAGAAAGGCCGGCTCCTGCCTCACCTGTGCTTCCCAGCAGCCTTTGGCCGCGAAGTCCCTGAGTTTCCGGAAGCTGTGGAGGCATCGCCCAGGATCTGACATCTGTCAATGGGAGAGTGTCACCGTGCTATTTATACAGTTGTGTCTCTGAACCAACCCTTCGATTCCTAAATGTTCCTCCCGACACCCCTAGAGGGTCCACAGCTTGGTCTCCTTCCCAGCCCCTTATCCCCCAAATGGCGGTGGTTGCTGGGGCAGCTATGGGAGCAGCTGCTGGCCGGCGGCTCCTGGTGCTCGGGGAGCTGCCCAAGGGCCCCCAGTGCGGACAGAACCTTGCCCGAGGGCCCATTTGGAGACCGCACCTTTGGCCAACACAAATCCTCCTCTCCCCAGCCCCCGGGCCACTCACGTCCGTCCTCCTGTCACGTTCCCAGAGGAGGTACGAGCTGGCCAGACAACCCTGATGAGCAGACTCTTCAAACAGGTCCCGGGCTTGCTGCTTCTGCTCTTCATCCTGCAACAAATCCCAGCACAGAGGCCTCCTTGACCGTGCTCCCCGCAGCAGAGCGCCAGCCCCCACCCATGGCCTCCTCCGCCATGCTCCCCGCAGAGCGCCGGCCTCTACGGGCCACCATGGTCTCTCCATAGACCTCTCAGTAAGCATATTCAGGGATCTCTCTTTTACTAAAATGAGTTGAAACCACTTCTGCTAAGATACGTGCTTTGACAACCGCTGGTAGGGCGAGCTTCTGAGCTCTGCCCTCACAGGCCCCCTTCCTCGCGGAGGAGGTTTGTGTTTGGCTTGGCCCATGGCCCCTAGCTGGGCTCTGGGCTGCTCGCGGGAGGGTCAGCCCTCCACACTGGCCCTCCCAGATGGTGATGTAGAGGTTTTCTCAAGGCTCCTCCCTGGCCTCGCTCATGTGAGCTGTGTCCCTCCCTGCGGCTGCACCGGTCATCAGAAGCCACACCTTCCCTGAGTTTGCTGCAGGGCAGGCTCCTTAATCATGAGCTTGGCAAAACTTTCTTCAGCATAGGGAGGTCTGTGGGAAGAGCGGGAGAGGCTGCCCGGAGCCAGGTCATGAAACCAGCCCATGGCCCGGCGAGCACTCGGATGCTCTGGGGGCTCCACACTGCTTCTCACAGGTGGGCCTTGCCTGGGCCTTATACCCCACACGGCACCCCCTGCTGCTTCCCGCTTACTTCCTGGTCCCTGGTGTTTGCAGCTGCCAGGAAGGCAAGCAGCACAGAAACACAAAGCCCCTGCGCACCACGTCTGCTGGCTCAGGGGGGCCAGGGCCACACCACCTAGCACAGGGTCCGGGCGGGACAGACAACTCACCTCGAAGAGACTGAGCACTCTCCCCAAGCAGTGCAGTATGGACGCTCTGTGAGTCTGAACAAGAGAAGGACAAAGTGTGTTCATGAGTGGAAAGAGAACTTCCGGGGGGCACATCCTTCCTTGTCCACCTGTTCTCGTGGCCCCTGCCTGGCCCACATCCCACCCCAAGGGCCACCCCCTGATTCCAGGCTTCGAGTAGCCTGGGTCCTGTGTTTCCAGCTGTCAATGCATTTGCAGCCCAGCCCCCCATGGGACTCCCTGGGAGCCCCAGCTGTGAGGCCTCCTCTCCTGCTGGCTCATCTCCAGATGCCCCCACGCCAACATTCTCGATTTTCTGCACCTCCACTGTCATCAGGCACCTGGCCTTACATGGTCCAGGGTCTCTACTCACCCTATGGGGCTCAGACCGTCCAGCACGCCGGCCCCACGTGTGTCCCTCGCCAGGACCCGCTCCCTGCAGCTGGCACTCGGCCCTGAGGCTCTCATGAACCACAGCTTTGCAGCAGCTTCCAGACACCGACCACGGAGGGCGGATGAAGAGCCAGATGAAGGGCGTGGCACCCACATTCAGTCGCTCAGCGAGACTGAAGAAGCGAGAAGCCTTCAGGCCGTTCACTTCCGCACGTGCTTCATCAGACACAGACACTGTGGACACGGACAGAATGTTACTCGGGATGTCTCCGAAAGACAGGTGCACAGAGTTCTCCGTGGGCTTTCTTCAAAGGCTACAATCTTACGCCTGCCGCAGCGCAACATTGCTGGTATTGAAGGAGGGCAGAACCCTCCAAGACGGGGGGCTCCTCCCTTTCTTCCCTACCTTGTGAATCATGTGTCCCTGCCAGTAGCCTAGGTTCTGAAGGTCTGGGAAGGTGTCCCCGTGGAGGTAGCACACACACCCTCCCTCCTGCTGGGAGCTACAGCCCAAACCCTTGCTAGTGGGTACTGTTTCCTTTTGGGCTAATGTTCCAAACCTGGACCGGTGGTAATGGCTACAACACTCTGTGAAGATACTATGAACTGCTGGCTTGTGCACTTTGGATGGGCGAGTTGGATGGTACGTGAATCCTGTCTGGGAACCGCTGTCTGAAGGGGGACCGCATGAGGTGCAGGACCACCCACCGTCTCTATGGGTCTCAACAATCCCAACCAGCTATGAGCAGGGGCTTTCTCAGCAAGATGCCAGATCTTTCAGAAGCAGAAGTATAGCAGCTATCCCCAGTCTTTATGCATTTTGGGGGCTGGGACTGGACAGCCTGCAGGCTGGTTCTGTGTGCTAAGCAAAGGGGCAGGCACTGGAGAGGAGAAGGCCACATGGGTTCTTTCAAGGAGCACCTGTTCCTTGGGGGGTGAAGGCGTTCAGGCACAGGCCAGCTTTGACCTGCTTATACCTGCCTCCCACTGGAGCCGTGGCTACTGTGTTATTAACACCCCATAGAATTAGGCACCCTTTGATTGCTGCCCCAGAGTTCCAGGGACGAACTGTGGCCAAGGATGGAGAGGGGCCAGCACCTACATGGGCTGTGGCATTCACTGGACGGAGTGGGGCGCTGCTGGTGGAGGAGCCCTGTTTGTCTGAGTAGCCCCCCCCCATTCTGAGTCTCTGCTGATGGAATTAAAGCATTCATCAAAACAAGGTTTGTTAAAACAATTAAAGCGTACGGACCCAAAGATCACCAGTGGGTCCCGTAGCAGGGCCCCTGTGGGTACACACTGCTGAGGGGAGAGGCCCACGGCTGGACCCGGCAAGAATAAGGGCTGAACGGCTCCCATGGAGAAGGGCTCATGCCTGTTCTACAAGGTCAGCACCGAGCAGGGCGAGGCCAGCCCCAGCCCCGTGAGGACTTACGGCCTTCATTGTAGAGGTAGGCTATACCCAGCTTCACGGCAGCTTCAAAATTTCCCTTTTCAGCAGCCCTAGACCATTAAAAACACACAGTGTCACCTGTGTTGTCCCATGAAGGTTCTGTCCCGCCACACCACCTGAAGCTAGAACACTTGTTTCTTAACTGAGGATTTTTCAGGCAACGCAAATACCACTCATCCAATGACACATGACAACATGGATGAACCTTAAAGATGTGCCAAGCAAAAGAACTCAGCCACAAAAGGCCACATGCTGTAAGATTCCCCTTATATGAAATGTCCACAGCAGGCAAATCCACGTACAAGTGGGCAGATCTGGAGCTGCCAGGGGCTGGGGGACTGCAGGGAAAATAGGGAGTGGGCACGGACGTCAACCCCTATTCACTCTGGCTTTGCCTGTGGGGTAATGAGGATGTTCTCAAGTGAGTGGTGATGGTTGCACAACTGTGTGAATCTACGAAAAACCACTGAGTTGCACACCTTAAACGGAGGCATCGTATGGTATGTGGCTTAGGTCTCAGGTGGCCTGTCTGGAGCCACCGGCACACGTGGATGATAGGTCTAGTCACCAGCACGCTGGGGCCCCCAGGCCAAGGGGCTCACACCTGCTCTGACCCTCCCTCTGGGTCCCAATCCCAGCAGGAGGACAGCATCAACCAGGGAGTAAAACGCAACACTTTTGACCAAAAAAATAAAAAAAAAATTTCACAGGAGTGAAATCACACACTTTTGACCAAAAAAATAAAGAAGGCTGAGTAAAATTTCCACAGGCAGGTGACCTGCATTTGAGTCACGCAGACGGGTCCCAGCCCGTGAGACCCTTCGAAGCATGACAGTGACTAATGAGTCCGGCTGGGCTGGTGGTATGGACGGCCAATGACTGTGCTTCATGTGACTCCACGGGTGACGCTGACAGCCCTCAGTCACTCCCTGGGGGGTGAGACATGGGCGAGGGCGACCACAAGAGGAAAAACACGCCCAGGTCAGGTGCTGGGGACACAGGCTGGCATAACAGGGAGGCCCAGAGATGGGAGAAAATGGAGCTGTTGTCAGGTGCAGATACCTTTCAAAGAGCTTCAGGTTCCTTGGAGAAGGCCACAGCTCCTGGAAGCTGGCACACGCCCACACGCTGGCATGGTTGTCCACCAGGTACTTCAGGTGGGAGTGCACCTGCAGAACAACGGAAGCGGCGGGGGGGGGTGCATTATCAAGGGACCTCCCAGAAGCCCCACGCCTGGAGCCCTTGAACATGGGACATAGACGGATGGAGGGCCTCCTGTCTCCCAACCCACGCCAGGGGGAAAGGCCCCCTGTGTATCAAAGTAATAGCTGCTTTGAGAGAGGGAAGAAACAAGTTTCTCGGAGGCTCTAAAGGTGAGGACAGTGGTGCCAGAAGGCAAAATAAGCATCCACCTTGAGAAAGAGGGGGTGACACCCCTGTAAGGGTGTATACCCTATAATGATCGGGGAAACAGACTCTAACAGGAGGAAGTAGAACAGAATTTTATCTTGTGCTCCTCTACCTAGGTCTTTGCTAGTGGGAAAACGGCTGGAGTCTGGAGGTCAACAGAGGCTCTAGAAAAAGACCAATAAACTCAATACCATCCTGGTCAGAGGCAGGAAGTGCCCCAGCTGGGAGCCCTGAGCACAGGTGAGTATTTCAAGGGCTAAAGTTCCCATTGCCATTGAAAACTCAGCACCCATGGATATTATGACCACAACGGAGGCGGCTCTGGGAGTCAGAGAAACAAGTTCCTGTTGGAGTTTTCCCACCAATTTGCTGTTATGCCCTTGAGTAAGTCAGTCTGAATGAAGGTGCAGTTGAATATCTGCAAACTAACTACCAGGGTCCCTTTTAGGGCTCGACATTACATGCAATCTGTCCTCGAGAATGTGTTTTTGTTCTCCCTAATATACTATCTTGTTTCTTAAGGGGTGAGAATTTCACTGCCACAACAGGGTACTTTCTCTATCAAACATCGCAACAGACTCAAAACATACTGCACTATGTTTCAGCTTTGATCACAATAACCTCAAACGTCTAGTAACAACATCATCCTTGTAGCCTCTGCCCTCTTTCATAGCCAAAATTTTATTCTCACATTTAAGAACACGAAACCCTGATGGGACAACCAACAAGTTAGGTCAAGAAGCTACAGGGCTGACGCTACTTTCATCTGGCAACTTACAGCTCGGACAGCCAGGATGTCCCCGACAGAAAGCCATTTCAGGATATGAAAGAGCACATCTTCAGGGAGGCTCAAGATGGTTAGGTTTCGGGGTCTCCTCCTTATTCTTCGCTTTGTAGGGTAACAGAAACACTTGGCACACCGACAGTGGATCACTGAAAAAGAACAGCAGAATGGTCTCGGTGATGTGTAGGAAAGGAGCTGGGCTGACGGTGCAAAGTTGTATCTGAAGACGACCGAACAGTCACTGTGCCTTCCCCACAGAAGGAACCGGCCGCATTTCTAGTCCCACACAAAGATTAAATAAAGGGAGTAGTGGTCCGGGAATTCCGGCAGACACCATCATTCATTCAAAGATCCAGTAAATACTTACGGCGAATAGCAGGTGATCATGGAACTTGGCTACTGGGGCAAGAGCGGCGAACGCGGATGATGGTTCTGCCCTCGGACCCCTGCCCATCTCCGCTCCTACTCGCACCAGAACGACTCAGCAGGAGCCCCTCGCGCCGCTCACTTGGCTTCCTCCCCGCTCGTCCCCGCCGCCCGCCCGCAGGACCCCCTCCGCAGGCCTTCCTACCCGGCCCGGCTCTGCACCGGGGTCGCCTACCACCAATTAACGGGCCGCGCGGGGCGACCGAGGCCCACAGGGTACCTGGATGTGACGGCCACACTGTGCTCGTCCCCTCGCTCTAGGCCGGACGCGGTACTCGCCGCCCGCGACAGATGCCGGGCCCCGCGCGGGGCGTTCACGCCAAGCCCACCCGCACCCGCGGCGCCACCGGGCATTTAAACCGTGCGCCGGGCGGGCGCCTCCGGGACGCCCCGCACGCGGGGCCGAAGGGCCCGGGCCGCCCAGCTCGGTGTCCACCCGCCGCCCGCGCCCCGCACTCACCACCGCCGCTCCCCATCGCCACCGCCGACTCCGCCGCCCGCGCCCCCGACCGCCGTCAGCCCCACGCGCCCCGCGCAGGCGCAAATCCGCCCCGCCGCCCGCCTGAGTTTTCAAATGCGCCCGGCCCTCCCATTGGCCGGCTGGGGGGGGCGCGAGCCGCCCGGCCGCCGGGCTCCGGCCCCAGTCCCGCCCTCCCGCCTGCGCCGGGAGCTCGCGATTGGCCACGCCAGGACGCGAATTCGAACGCCGGCCGTTGATTGGTGGAGTCCGAGCGGCCGCCCCGCCTCCCCGGCCGGGGCGGGAGGAGTCCCCCGGGGAGCGCCGCGTCTGCCCGGCTGGTGGGGGCGTCTGTGTGTGTGCTTGGGCCCGGCTGTTCCGGCGGCGCGGGTCCCGGCAAGCGGCGTCCGCGGAGGCCTTTGCGCACCCACCGCGCCCCGGCCCTCACCCCGAGGCCGCGCGCCCAGCCTCCCGCCCGCGCGTCAGGCGAGGACACCGCTGCTCGGGCGGCAGAGCCACGGGGGGCGTGGACCGGAACGCAGCCCCTTTAGGGACTCGGCCGGCGCCTTCTTGCCGCGAATCGTGTCTCAGGCGTCCCGCGGGCAGGTCGTCGCCCCTGTGTGTCCCCGCTGTATCCTCACTGCCCCGCCAGGAGCCTACTTCACTGGCTGCCCCCAGCCACCCCGAGCACGGTGTCCGTCAGGGACTGGGCAGTGCCCTCCGGCCCGTCTTTCACGGGAGAAGCGCTGGACGGAGGAGGACACGGTGGTTTTCCCGGAGACGCTCTCCTCACCCCTGCGCGCCCCCAGTCAGCGCTCCCTTCCCCTCCGGCCTGGTCCTCAGGGTCGTCGGTCCCTGCTGGGCAGCCGGGCGCACACGCGAGAGCCACACTGCCATTCTGCAGCAGGAAACAGAAGTACACGGACGGCCACACACGGGGCGTGAGAGGCCCCTTGTTAAAGAGGCCAGGGACCAGGCCCTGGGCTTGGGGTTGAAGGAGGGGCCGAGGTGGGGCGCACAGGAAACAGAGTGGATGGAGCCCAGCGGGCTTGGGGCTGCTCCCCAGGTGGCCCGTGTTCCACCCAGAAGCACGAGGAGGAACCCAGGGTGGACTCTGCAGTTTCTCCTCCTTCCTCACACCTTTGGTTACTGTTCTCCGCTTTGTTACTGTGTTGTCCTCCTCCTCCCCCGCACTGTGACTTTGTTGCTGGTCTCCCCCAGGGCAGAGGTGTGCCTTTCCAGCCTGGACTCCAGTAGCACCTTTGTCAACCACACTCACTCCCCTGGGGAGCCCAAAATAGCATGTTGCTCTCTTAAGTCCCTCAGCTGTCCTCTCCCCGGTTCTTTGTGTCCTCATCGTTTTTCCTTTACTCGCAGGTAAAGTATTATTTTTCAGAAAACCAGTGTTCTTCTCTCGGCCATGCTGTGGGCCCTTGCCTGCATCCATCGCCCTGGCAGGAAGAGCCCTGGGGGCCCCGTGGGGTAACAAGCCACTCCCAGAGGGTGAGAAGAGCCCATTTCCCACTGGACACACCCACGCAGGAGGGTGAGAACTCATTGGAAAAGTCGAGACTGTCAGGGGTCGGGGAAGTTCCCAGCTGGAAGAAGATGGCAGTTGAAGACATGGGGTGGGGGGTGAATGAGAAAGATTCAAGGACAGCAGGGCACAGAGGTGGGAGTGGGGGAGAAAGGCTGTGGGAAGGACTCTGTGAAATGCCACAGAGCAGGCACAGGGAGAGAGGATGGAGAGACCCGCCGTGTGGCAGCCAGGGGTGGAGCAGTGCTGTAATTTTGGGTGAGGGGTGATGGCAGGTAGGATGTTTGGTCAGGGTCAGGAGACACCAACTTTCCTGGAGCTTGGCTGGGAAAAGAGGGAGAGAACTACCTGCAAAGGAGGAGCCGAGGGGGCTTTTTAGAAGGGACTGGCGTGAGCACGCTGGAGCAAGGCTCTGACGGGGCATGCGCCAGAGGAAGGTGCTTATGACAAAGGTGCACAGCCACATCCATCTGTGCACAGAGGCTGGCCCGTGCTGTGGCCTGGAGCACACAGCCCTGCCCTCTGTAGTTCTCACGCCTGAGCTGTATCAGAAGTACTTGTTAATGTGGGGTCCTTACAACACAGATTGCTGGTTCAGGAGGTCTGGGGTGGGGCCCAAGAATCTGAATTTCTAGCATGTTTCTGGATGAAATTTCTAGCATGTTTCTAGCTGCTGCTTAGGAACCCCACTTTGAGAACCTCTACATGAGTTGAATCTTGGCTCCACTCCCTGTTGACTGTGAAAGTTGATGAATGTCTCTTAAGTTTCAGGTTACTCATCTGAATAATACTTCATGGGTTGATGTACTGTCATATGCAGGCTCACTCCTAAGATTTGTAAGGACCGGGGCAGGGGCGGAGGGGTGGGCAGAGAACAAATGGAGACTCACAAATCCAAATACTGAAATACTAAAACACTGAAAAATTGAGACTCAGGTTAGCAAACTCATCAATCTCTTTTCTCTTGCCTTCAGAAGGACAGTATCATGAGAACCATGGTCACCCCCAAGCCACTACACCTTGAGAGGACATGGCAGGTGTTTCTCTGAGGCTGCTTCCACAGCCAGGTCTCAATGAGGCCATGGAGCCACCCAGGCGGGACTCAAGGGGATCCTTTTCCACTGAAATGGAACTAGGTTCTCCACCAGGCCTCTAAGGTGAGAGGGCCCAATCTGGCAGAGAGCCACCCAGTCTCTGAACTGAGTTCACTGGGTCTACAGGCTGCCTTTGTACTCCTTGCAGCCTATGGCAGGTTTTGCACTCTTTATTACAGCAAGTAAATATCTGAGGGAAGTGGTGAGGGAGGCTGGGAGGGAGGAGGAAAGCCAGCTGGAGAGGGAGGCTAGGAGGGAAGAGGAGAGGGAGGCTGGGAGGAAAGTAGAGAGGGAGGCTGGGCAGGAGGCTGGGAGGGAAGAGGAGACGGAGACTGGGAGGAAAGTAGAGAGGGACGCTGGGAGGGAGGTGGAGAGAGAGGCTGGGAGAAAAGTGGAGAGGGAGGCTGGGAGGGAGGTGGAGAGGGAGGCTGGGAAGGGACGTAGAGAGGGAGGCTAGGAGGGAGGTGGAGAGGGAGGCTGGGAGGGAGGTGGAGAGGTTGATGAATGGTCTGCTGGCTCTGCTTGCCCTTGTTTGTGTTCCTCTTTGGTTGGGTGCACAGAGCAGGTGAAGCTCAGGAAAATGTCCTCCAGGGAGACTTGGTTGACAGAGTAGTCATCCAGCATGAACTTCATCTTGGCTTGCTCCAGAATGTCAAATACCTGTTGGGAAGGAGGAGGCCACTGTGGACAGGGGGCACAAGGGAGGGGAGAGGAGGCAGCAGAGAGTGGAAAGAGGGAGGGTCTTGGGTGTGATGAAGCCCCCAAAAGACCCATCTCTTTTTCAGCTGCGCCCAGAGCACCTCCCAAGAAGTCAGTCTTAGGGAAGTTAGCTGTCTGTGATCTCAGGGAAAGGCTCTGGCTGGGAATGGTGCCAGCAGGCAGAAGCCCCAGCTGGATCTCTGGCTTGCTGTGGGACCCTGGGCATGTGGTATCCCCTCTCTGGACCCGCTTCCCTCTCTATGAAATGAGGGGGCAAGAGGAGCTGATCTCAGAGACCCCTTCCCATGCACACATCCTTATGTTTTATGAAATCCACGTGAATGTTGTCATGGGGTTGGCAGAGAGGAGATGCTTTCAATGCATCTTTCATGCAGAAAAGAAAACAAGTCACCCCAGAAAGCCGGTGACATCACAGGTTTGCTCCCTCTGATGGGCAGGTACACTCACCTTGGCCCAGCTGAGGTCATCCCCGGGCAGGTGGTAATGGACCATCCCTTGGTGCTCATCTCCCAGGACGCTGCCTGCATGAAGAAGACACCGTGTCCCCGTGAAGGCCAGGCTGGAGGGCCTGGGACCATGGAATCCCGGCCCTCCTCCCAGGGGCCAGGGACAGGGGACTCGGCAGGGGTGAGGCACAGATGCCCTCTGCACAGTGGCCCTCACCTGGGAAGGTCAGGTTCACAAACGCCTTGAACTCCTCCAGCGCCTCCTGCTGCCCGTCGCTCCGGACCTTGGCCCGCAGGGAGTAGCCGCTGCCAAACTTGCTCTTGAGGTGCTGTGGGCTGCCCAGGCACTTGAACTGACCCTGCACCATGATGGCCAACCGGGTGCACAAGGCCTCGCATTCCTCCATGCTGGGGAGAGGGGCAGAGGCCTGACACGGGGCCGGGGGATGCCGACGCCTGCCTTCCGTGTCAAAGGCTCAGGCAGAGGGGCCGGTGTCGACGGCCGGATCTCACTGTTCCTGATTCCCGTGTTCAGAGGGTGGCCCACATGGCTAGCTGGCGACTTTCCTCACAGACTCTGAGTCAGCTGCTGACAGGTCTTCTGTCCACCCGGCCCCACCCGGCCAGCCCTCGTCCCGGCTCTTCCACTGACCCCCCGAGACCCCGCCTCTACCTGTGGGAGGTGATGACGATGGCCTTGCCGGACTCTCGGGCCCGTGCCACAGTGTTCCAGAGCAGGCGCCGGGCCACGGGGTCAATGCCAGTGGATGGCTCATCCAGGAAGATGACCGAAGGCTCTCCAAGCAGGGCGATCCCTGTGCTCAGCTTCCGCTTGTTGCCACCGCTGGGAGCAGGCGGGGAAAGGTTGGGGTGAAAGGCAATTAATAATCAGCAGTAGCCCAACCCCCCTACACACAAACACACACACACGCACACACACACACACACGAACAGGCTTTCTGTTCTCTGTTGAGGAAGTGTCCCACAGCCCCTGAGTGGGGCTCTAGTAATATGCCCACCACCCTCCTATGAGGTTGCACTGTGACTTGACTGTCCACTCGGTGTATAGATCAAGGCCCTGGACAGAGGGGTCAGTCCAGGGTGGGAACGTGGTCCCTGAGTCTTCTTTGAGGGTCTCTATGGTCTCTAGGGCTGTAAGGACAGAAGGCCATTTTAGCTAACTTTTCTTGAATTAACACAGCATTTACAATGTGCACGGGGC